CGATCATCTGGTTGCCTTATCCCTTGGACAATGAGGTTGTATACGCCAATATGAACCACCAAGAACAGAGAATAACCAGTATCTATTATCCAACAAAAGAGGTTCCATTGGATATATAAGGCAAAATGGAGGTGAATATTTAATGAAGTCGATGGAAATAGTGATGACACCGGGTGTTGTGTCAAGTCAATCAAGTGATGCTCTACAACTATCCAATGTTACACTGACAGCCCGGTGGCCCAGTGGTGCGAGGTTTGGAGGCTGTAAACACCAACGATCTCCTTCACATAGGTGGGGTAGCCTAGTGGTTAAAGCGCTCGCTCATCACGCCGAAAACCTGGGTTCAAATCCCACTTGGGTACAATGTGTGAAGCCCATTTCTGGTGTTACATGTTGTATAGGTGTTATATTGCTGGAATATTGCAAAAAGCACCGTAAAACCATACTCACTCACCGTCCACCGTCCTGTTAAATTCGGTCCTAAGAGGATTCCATGTTAAAATAGGTCCGGCAACTATATATTGATAACGTGTTTGACCTGGAACTCTGAGCAAAAGTAAGGCGGAAGCGTATTTGAAAATTATTGTTACGCATACATATGCCTGGATGCTAATTCAGCACCGCCATTTGTATGCTTCCATATTTAAGGGCCATTCTCTGAAACAAACCATATCCCACGTCCAGTTCTGAAGAAGTTTGTTTTTGTTAGCAAGTGAAAAAGTCCTTTTGGAATGCAGAAACGAAATAGGACTTTGTAACTGACCCATGGCAATAGTGTAGGGCACCACAGAGGAACTAACAGGAATAATTAAACATCATATGTAGATCATAACATCAAAAGTAGATCATAACATCATATGTAGATCATAACATCATAAAACGATCATAACATCATAAAACGATCATAACACCACAGGGATCATAATATCATACGTTGATCATAACATTATATATAGATCCTAACATCAGATATAGATCATTTGTAGATATTAGCATGCTAGGTAGATCATAACATCATAGGTGGATCATATCATATGAACATCATAACATTATATAAAGAACATAACATCATATGTTGATCATCACATCATACACAGATGTTAACGTCATCTGTAGATATAAGCATCATATATAGATATCGACATCATAGGTTGATATCAACATCACATGTAGATTATGTGATCACAGGTCCTTATGTGAACGTTATTTGTAGATGTTAGCATGATATGTAGATATCAACACCACAGGTAGATATTAACATCATATGTAGACGTTAACATCATAACAGGATATTTGTGCTCTGTATGCAATGCATTGGAAGTTGAAGACGAGAATCATGTTTTTTTTATTGTAAATATTACGAATTTTGGCGAGAAAAATATTTGGTACAACTTCGAAAAGTGTATAAAGGTCCACTAACTTTAGAATCTATTTTCAAATCAAGAAACAGTCAGGTAATATATTTCACTGCTTTATTTCTGCATAATGTATTCCAAACAAGAGCTGGATCCATTTGACCACTGAACATCGATTTATATAACTGTATAACTGTATTATATATAGGCCACTAGGCCGATATTACGCAAATAAACTGTCTGTCTGTCTGTTAACAGCATATGCAGTTCATATGCAATTCGGGCCTGTAAAAACATAGATCTGCTGAACTGGGTTTTTTTTAGATGCAAGGTTACCTTACAATCGCAGAGCTTAACGAAATATATTTCTTTCACACCAAAACATGAAAGACAAGTGTTTTTATCACAAAAAGAAATGATTACTCGGAACCGATAGATTGTGGTTGCTAGGAGACTCCTAATTCAGCAGAGCCCTGTTTACAGTGGATCAAATAAAGTACTATCATTATGTGGAATATGTCTTCTTGTAACGGAGAGCATCGTGATCCGAGGCGCATTTCCGTTACCGTGTTTTGTAATGATATTTTTAATGATATTTAGTAAACAGGCAGTTGTGTATTTAAAACAGAGTTTGGGACAGAGTGTCAACCGAGGTTGTTGGGACAGCCAGGAACGACATGAAACTCCCTACGTAAACTTGTCAATAGTCATGGGCGAGCGTTATGTCACACGCGTCGATAGAAAAGTTCTCGTAGCGGAAGAGAAAATTTTATTTCAACTTAAAAACACAATTATTTTTCATAGGCTACTCGAGTTTGGTTTCGTTTTATTCTCTCATATATGTCTAACTGATCCCTCACTTACATATTTGGTATTATATTTATTTGACTAATATTAAAACTTAATACTCTTATGCACATTGAATTTTATGAATTTGAATGATACGTCAAACTGATTATCTAGTGTAATTAATTTAAAATAAATGATATGCTGATTCCATGTAAGTAAATCTCATTTAGTGAATTTACACGATATATGTATCACGATTTATTGTATGTATATTCAATACATGAATTTAATTGAAAAGTCAAACTATCGACGTGTGTGTGTGTATTAAAGATTATGAGTGAGTGAACAGACTACTGACTGACTGAGTTTAGTTTTACGCCGCTTTTAGCAATATTCCAGCAATATCACGGCGGGGGACACCAGAAATGGGCTTCACACATTGTGCCCATGTGGGGAATCGAACCCGGGTCTTCGGCGTGACGAGCCAACGCTTTAACCACTAGGCTACCCCACCGCCCTGTGAACAGACTAGTGACTTACAAGAGAAATTAATAATTCAAGACCACCAGGGAGCGGATACAGTGACATTTTGGTCAAAGTTACAACATCATTACATAGTATTTTCCTAAATACCATCAGTGAATATTGATATATTTGTGACATGTCAGTAAATATATTTTATCATAGTAATGACCTCAGCTACATCTTTTAACTCCTTGGACTGTGGCTTCCAAATTGATGAAACGAGCGACATGGCATTAAACAGTGTCGTTGTAGGTCGGGATGCTTGCCATGCTATTGCAAAGCGACCACAAAAGAGCCCCCTAGCAATTGCTTTCAAAACAAACAGTAAATAGTATGATTGAAAAACTGAACAACATAAAACCATGAAACCTCTTCTAAAATATATGATTTTGTTTAGATCAAGAAGAACGATGTGCAGCTGCAGCGGCACATACAGAATAAAGTTTCTCCCCTTCAGCCTTGGTTCTCGCACACACAACGTCGTCCCATAACAGCCAAAAGTCCTCGCAACGCGAGAGGACAACATTCGACAGGACGGCCATTATAAGGGAGATAACCCCTCTTTTCACTGAGTGTTTCGTGCTCGACTTGAAAGCATTTTACATCCGCTTCTTTAGCTGAAATCCGTTCGGGCTCTATAGTGAGTGAGTGGGTGGGTTTTAGTATTACGTCGCTTTGGCAGTATTCCAGCAATATCACTGCAGGAGACACAAGATGTGGCTGCACACATTGTAGCCATATGTGGAATCGAACCCGGTTCTTTGGTGTGACGACGAACGTTTCAACTTCTAGGCTATCCGACCGCTCGACGCTGCAAGGAATTACGTAGGTAATGGAATACTCCAGTATATCCCATAACCTTGACCCTGTGACCTAATGCCACTGACAAGACTGGATTCACTGAGATTTTCCTTCGGTATTATTGGCCTATTGTTTGCATGTGTTAAGTGCCGACGTGTTTCATCAACATATACATTCTGTTATACTTATAGTGAACGGAATGGGAAAAGGGGATAGGTAAGGAATAGGGCTTAACATTTACACACGCACACGCACATGAGTCCTAACAGTATTTATTAATCATACATAGGCTTTGTTTTACGTACATCAGTCATAAGGCTGTTATTGTAGTTCTGTTGATGTATTTGTCTAAACGTCCTCCCCTTTCATGTACGAACATAACAAGAGCGGCATATAACGATTTTACATCGCTTCAAACATTAAGAGGATTGAGATTTATGAACAAATCGTTGAACGTTGCAAGAGTTGTGCCCCTTTCTTCAAGACTCTCCATTAATGCTTTCCCATTTTCCCAAATAAGATGGATGAAATTGAGTGTGGCTGCTAGCTACTTAATTGTTCAAACATCAGAGTGAGTGTGTGAGTGAGTGATTTAGGTCTCAGAAACTCACGTGCACGAGCATCCTGTGGACAGACACCGGGAACTACGGCGCCTTAAGTGAGTGAGTGAGGTTTTACGCCCCTATTAGCAATATGACGGTGGGGCACACCAGAAATGGGTTTCACACACTGTGCCTATGTGTTTAATCGAACCTTGACGTGACAACGGAACACTTTAACCAACAGGCTACCCTACAGACTGGCCGGCCTGTGAAGTCGGTGATAGGAACTATAGTGTATATATATTGTTGTGTCAAAAGGGGTAACAATTCAAGTTTCTTGGCACATTGTGATACTGTAGTTTGTGATTCTGGACATGGATTAGATTGTTTTGTTTGTTGGTTGTTTACTGGCCTGTTGTTTACTGTTTACTGTTGTTTTTCAGCCGTATGACAGCGGTCTGTAAATAATCGAGTCGGGATCAAACATTCCTGTGGTCAACAGCATGAGCATCGATCTACGCAATAGGGCTACGATGACAACCAAGTCGGCGAGCCAGACCATCTATCCTGTTAGTCGCCTCTTACGACAAGCATGGGTTACTGAAGATCAGTTCTAACCCGGATCTTCACGGGTTTAGCGCAACGGTAGTCGTAACTATACATTAAGGTATGCTAGTTACGATCACCTTAACCCCAACATTGTTTGTACAACGGCACTCGGATCCGTCTTTCGACCAACAAAGGTTCCTGGGGAACAATTCCATCGGCATGGGCCTTACAAATGCTTCGGTCGGTGGGGTAGCCTAGTGGTTAAACCGTTCACTCGCCACGCCGAGGACCCGGGTTCGAATCCCCACATGGGTACAATGTATGAAACCCATTTCTGGTGTCCCCCGCCTTGATATTGCTGGTACATTAAGAAAAGCTGCGTAAAACTAAACTCATTCATTCACTACAAATACTTCAGACAAACATACAATGTCACATGTTTCAGTCTTCATCTGTTTATTTCGATTTAACGAAGAGACTTCCATCATTTAAAACACGGGTTTGTGTGCGCCGGCAGTTTGCCCCGAGCCTGCAGATCCACCAAACCTTGAACAAAAGGTGCATGTTTCTGATAATTGGCTAAATGTCGTTTTACAAACAAATTTCAAAGTAATATGACTGGCTATATTAATGAATTTCATTGATCATATTTCTCTTTAGACGAGTTTCACCAGCGCAGATAGCATTATAACGATATATGGGTTTGGTAAAGTGCTTACACTAATATTCTACTGGCTAGCGTACCAGTTATCGCCAACACCTCTCTGTAGCGCTTGCACAGACAGCTTGATTTTAACTCTCGTAGCCTATCGCTTTTGTGATGTGTCAATGAGTGAAATACTATGGACGTACAAGTCAATCTGTCTGAGCAAGCGCGACAGACAGGTGTTGGCGATAACTGGTAAGCGGCGATAACTGGTCGCTAGCCAGTAGAGCTACATGTACTAATGTTAAGTGTGTACCCTATCTTAATCCCTGTCTTTTACAGCAAAAAGGTAGGGGTTTATGCTGAATTACTTACAACGTATTGACTGATTAAACAAGAGAACGAGAAGCTCTTTCCGATCACACAAGTACGGAAATTACCGATGTTTGCCGAAGGAAAATAGAGGCCATACCCGCTAACACCGACTGAAAACCAGCATTGTAGTCACAGGCGACCTCGTTGCGGATGTAGTCAGACCTGGCGTCGGCGTAGTTGCCCCCGTTATCAGGACCCCCGACGAGAGCGCCCGTGAGAACGTTTGGGTTGGGACCGGGGTTGTTATAGTCGTTCCAGTTGCAGGGTTGGTTGAGATCAGAGCTGCAGGAGCTGAAATACACACCGGACAAAGATCATGCACCCTGTTTGTTGTTTAACGCCGCACTCAGCAATATTCCAGCTATATGGCGGTGGTCTGTAAATAATGAAGTCTGGACCAGACAATCCAGTGATCAACACCATGAGCATCGATCTACGCAATTGGCATACGATGGTATGTGTCAACCAAGTGAACGACTGACCACCCAATCCCGTTAGTCGCCTCTTACGACAAGCATGGGTTGATGTAGATCAATTCTAATCTGGATCTTCACGGGATCGTCACTGTTTTCAGTGAGGGCTGCAACGAAGTTCCTTGTTCTATGAGAACAGCAGTCCAAAGAGAGAGAAAAAAACATTATTACCAATTGACGCTTTCAGGTTGCTCACTCACTCATCCACTCACTCACCCACTCACTCACCCGCTCAGTCGCTCATTCACACTCTCACTCCTCACTCACTCACTCGCTCACACACTCAATCACTCATTCGCTCACACACTCAATCACTCACTCACCCAATCACACACTCACACGCCACTCACTTACCCACTCTCACTTCACTGACCTGGCGCGATGATGTGGTCGCTGTGGAGGGTAGTTGCCATATCCTACGACGTAGCTGCGGCCGGCCTCGTTGGCACCAAGCATGTAGTCTATCTGTGACAGCGCCCACTCCCTGTACTTAGTGTCCTCGATGCCGACATCGGCCGCCACCATCGCTATTAGAGCTGCATTGGCTGAAATAGACACAAACACAAACAGGAAATTACAAATGTATGCAAGCTGGAACCAGTTCTACTAATCGAGAGGCGGTGAGGTAACCTCGTCACGCTCGTCACGCCGAAGGCAGGGTTCGATTCCCCACACAGGTACAATGCGTGAAGCCTATTTCTTGTGTGATCTTGCTAGAATATTGAGTAAAAACAGCGTAAAACTCCACTCACTCACTCACTCACCTCAAATCACCAACCTCAACTGACTCACCTAAACTCACTAACCTCAACTCACCAACCTCGATTCACTCACCTCAACTCACTAACCTCAACTCACTAACCTCAATTCACTAACCTCATCTAACCAACCTCAACTCACCCACCTCAATTCACTCAACCTCAACTCACCAACCTCAACTCACCAAACTTACCTCAACTCACCAACTTCAACTCACTAACCTCAACTCACTAACCTTAACTCACCAACCTCAACCCACCAACCAGAACTCACCAAACTCAACTCACCAACCTCACCTCACCCACCTCAACTCACCAACCTCAATTCATCCACCACAACTTGCACTCCTGAACTCACCAACCCCAACTCACCCTCCTCAACTCACCAACCTCACCTCACCCACCACAACTCACCCTCCTCAACTCACTCACCACAACTCACCCTCCTCAACTCACCCACCACAACTCACCCACCTCAATTCACCAACCTCACCTCACTCACCCCGACTCACCTGTGTATCGAAGAGTGCCCCACTTGGCATACCACGAGAGTTCACAAGTGGGTGTCTTGGTTACAGAAGACCGATACCTGTTGACGAAGTTCTCGACCAGGGCCTTCAGTGCAGCGTCAGAGTGATTGGCCTCGTACATCAACAGCTGGAATAGGAACATACCAGCACTGACAAATGAAATATAATGTGACATTACAGAGACTTAAACATACAGATCAATTACATGTATGTTTGCATGAACCCTTTTCCCCCACGGGATATGCATGACGGGCTTTTAGCAATATTCCAGCAATATCACGGCGGTGGAACACCAGATACAGTACAACCAGAAATTATTGAGAATTTAAGATTGTAATTTTTTTTTTTTTACACTCATTACTCACGTATTAAATGTGAATATTAGCAGAACATTACTCCAGATTCAAAGACAGGTGAACAGTTAGTATTTTTTCAAGTCACCATGGGCAGCAATGCAGGCAGCAATGCGGCGGGGCATACTACTGATCAAAGAAGTTAGAAAGTCGTGGTCCATGCTGTCCCAATATCGGACCACCTCTTCTTTCATTTCAGCAATATTTGTCAGATTTTTCTTATTGACACTTTCCTTCATAAGTCCCCAAACATTTTCTATTGGATTTAGGTCAGGGTTATAGCTTGGCCAATCTAATAATGTCACATTTTGGGTCCGAAACCAAGGCCTGTGAATGCTTTGAACGATGTTTTGCTGGAAAATCCAAAAAATTCCATAGAACACGTGAGCAGATGGAGTAAATGTCCCTCGAGAATATCTGTGTACCACTCACTGTTCATATTCCCTTCAAATACACAGAGGGGCGTTGCCCCAACACAGATATGCCAACCCACACGTTAAATTTCGAACTGTACTTTGGGCGCTGATACAAAGGTTTTTCAGTTTGTTTGGTCCAGAATTTCAGTGTATTTAGAAACAGCCACACAGAACTTTCATCTGAGAAAATCACATTGTCCCAGTTAAAATTTCTATGCTGTAAGCACCAGTTCAACCTTCGCTCCTTTTGTTCAGGTTTCATGAACAGTGATGGAATTCCTCGACTTTTCTGCCAACCCATTGCATGCAACTCAGTTCTAATTATCTCCTTACAGACAGCCACAGTTCCTCTATCAATCATATCCAGCCTTAAGTTTTCTAAACTCCTTCGTTTGTTTTTAGAAACAAGAATACCAAGCCGCCTCCTGTCACCGACACTCAATTTTCTGGGCCTACCTGCGCCTCCCTGGTGCTCAACGCCATATCCATTTGCAATATTTTTCAAAACACGATAAACAGTGGACAAAGGGATGCCTGTTCTACTTGAAATCACTTTAGCTGATCTGATGTCCTTGTTATAATACTCTAAAATCAACTTCCTCTTCTCTAAATCATCCATACTGAGGATCACTGAAAATGTCGTCTGCTAACAAGTAAACAAAGGGGGATAACTCTTCACAAACTAATGAGAAAGGATTAACGGAGTTGTCTCTCTTGATAGCACTTGATAGCTGGTCAAGGTTGTTTATACTAGAAATCCAAATAAACATATTCCTAAAATTCACAATAATTTCTTATTTCACACGCTGTACCCATATCGGGAATCGAGCCCAGGTCTTCGTTTTCGCTTTAACCTCTAGGCTACCCTACGGCCCCTAAGGTATGAGAAATTTAGACAAATTGTGATATTCTCTATAAACTAAACACCTCAGCGGTAGAGGATACATGTATTTCTACTACCTTTTTACCAACGTTATTTGAAAAAATAGCTAAATAACTTTTACTTATGTTTATTGGCTGTTTAACGCCGCACTCAGCCATTAACAAGTAATTTTGACGGTGAAACATTTTGAATAGAAATTTCGTTCAAGTTCATATTTTGAATTAATAACGATACAGGGATATGATACATAATCAAATTTTCGTTCCATGCAAACATTTACACAAATTTTATAATATGTTTTTGTGTTTTGAAATACCTCGTACATTATTCTAAAACAAAGATTGGATACCACGTATATGCCGCTCGAAAGAGGTTACGTACAACCCTATATTTTCATATTACTGTATATGATCTGTCAAGCCATCACAGGTGTTCCTTAACTTCGTTTGAGAGGTCTGAATTTACCTGACATCCGACATTCTTGTTGTCCCAGGAAAACTCCACTTGATCGTTAGAGGAAATCAACTCCATTGCTCTCTCTTTATACACTGTCTCCCCCGTAGCGTTGTACAACCAGGCAGAGGCCCAGCAAAGGTCGTCCGTGAAGCCGCTCCAAGAACTAAGGGAGACAAGCAGTGTTGTTTGACTGCTGAATTTGAGTGAGTGACTGATTTTAATTTTACGCCGCACTCATCAATATTCCTGTCTGTAAATAATCGAGTCTGGACCAGACAATCCAGTGACTAACAGCATAAGCATAGATCTGAGTAATCGGAATACGATGACATGTGTCAACCAAGTCAGCGAGCCTGACCATCCGATCCAATTATTCGCCTCTTACGAAAAGCATGGGTTGCTTGAGTACCAGTCACTTGCTAGATATTTGAGTCGAATAAACTTTGGTGATAAGGAACAAAAATGAGTTGTCCTTTTGAGAGAACTATTGTAATATCTAACTAAATTCCAAGTTAACACACAACGTTTTCGCAGCATTGTAGGAAAATTGTAGATTGGTATCGTCATGACACAACGTTGTCACAACGTTAGTATAACGTCATGATACAACGTTGTGGGAAGATTGTAGATTGGTTACGTCATGCCATAACGTTGTGGGAAGGTTGTAGATTGATAACGTCATGATACAACGTTGTGGGAAGGTTGTAGATTGATAACGTCATGCCACAACGTTGTGGGAAGGTTGTAGATTGGTAACGTCATGATACAACGTTGTGGGAAGGTTGTAGATTGATAACGTCATGCCACAACGTTGTGGGAAGGTTGTAGATTGGTAACGTCATGATACAACGTCAACGTTAGTATTACGTTATTTTATAACGTAATGGGGTCGGTGGGGTAGCCTAATGGTTAAAGCGTCGGCTCGTCACGCCGAAGACCCGGGTTCGATTCCCCACATGGGTACTATGTGTGAAGCCCATTTCTGGTGTCCCCCGCCGTGATGTTGCTGGAATATTGCTAAAAGCGGCGTAAAACCAAACTCAGTCAGTCAGTCAGTATAACGTTATGTCACAACGTAATAACAACATTGCAAATTTACGTTGAGGAAACGTTATGCTCTGGGCTCCTCACAACGTTATAAAAAAACGTTTCTTCTAACTTGGTGCACGGTGGTTTTCTGTAAAACCTTTCACTATGTGATTCTTTCTTCACTATTCAGCTACAGATTCAGTAAACACGACCAAAACAACATGCAAATTGACGAATAAACATTGAAGTTAATTTCTTCTTTGTTTCTTACGTACTGTTAAATAGAACGCAAGACAGCGTAAAATACGGTAGCATCAAATAACTTAAACTTGTTGCGACGTAAAATGACGTATCACCACGTCAGGCCACAACGTTGTGACAACGTAAATTGGAGTCCACAGAATAACGCTGTAACAACGAAAGCATACGGCTGACTGACTGACTGACTGAGTTTGGTTTTACGTCGCTTTTAGCAATATTCCAGCGATATCACGGCGGGGGACACCAGAAATGGGCTTCATTCATTGTACCCATGTGGGGATTCGAACCCGGGTCTTCGGCGTGACGAGCCAACGATTTAACCAATGGACTACCCCACCGCCCCGAAGGCATACCGTGTGACAACTGTCTGACAACGTGAAATTGTTAGCTGGGTAATTTGTCCTTTTGAGTTCGTTACAACCGCAGTTCATTGAAATCGCAATATCACCGCGGGGGACACCCGAAGTGAACTTCGCACATTGTACCCATGTCGGGAATCGAACCCGGGTCTTTAGCGCGACGAGCGGACGCTTTAACCACTAGCCTACCCCACCGCGCCGTGACACATACACAATTACTGGGTACATCAACAAATGTATCTCACTTGTAGAAGTCTCCGGCCGGCACGCTGTCGGTGTAGGTTCCACTGTTGTTGTAGGCGAAGTCGTACAGAGACCGGGCGTTTTGCAACAACCTAGCTGAGTAGCCCTGGTCTAGATCGTGATAATTATAATGGCATTATCGAGAACAGCAGTAATGGTAATAATAACCAACGTGATACTACGAGTACCACATTATCATGTAAGAACATCAAAATTGTATAAATAATAATAAAGAAGAGGAATGTTCAATGACTGTACAATGTTGTTTGTACAACATAGCCAATGTACTGTTAGCATTTCTTCGGTAAAAGTGAGGTGAGGTGAAATTGGGTTTAACGTCGTGCCTGAGAATATTTCGCTCATATGACGACGTGCATGCGTGTGTATGTGTATGTGCGGCTGCTTGTACTAGCCCAGACTTAAGCTGGTTTTATAGTGCTAGCCCACTGAAATACCATGCCGCAGTGCAGCATGAATACCCCACTCAGACACATTATACTGACTCCGAGCGGACAAGTCCTTGTTGTACCCATTAATGCCGAGCGCCAAGCAGGGACCAACAAGTACCATATTTTAACGTCTTTTGGTATGACGCGGTCAGGGTCGAACCCGCGACCTTCCGCTCTCCGGGCGGACGCTCTTACCACTACACCACGGAGGCGGTCTCTTCGGTAAAGAGTCGCATTGTATCTTATCAACAAATTGTGCACGGACTAATATTTATAAACTAACAGTATAATAACAACAGTTATAAAATAGCAAGACATTGTTAATAAAATTTATAATGATATATACAAACATGTGACTAAATAACAAACTGCAGTACTTTGTGCAGTACTATTATCAAATTTAGTATTGAATATAACACTGCTAATTAAACTAACTAAATTATTAAATACTGAACATTAAAATATTAAATGAGATAAAAGAAACAACACTGCTAAAATAACAGCAACAAAACAACGAAAATAACTCTATGTTGTATCAAGACAAGCCATACGTCGTTCTTTATAATTTAATCTGCATAAACTGTGTCTTTATGGAATAGTTTTCTGATACCTTCACTTCTGAAAGCTATTGAAGCCGCGGCAAATGCAGCCGCAGTCTCGCCGGTTACGTCACTTCCGGGACTGCCAATGGTGACCTTGTAGGAAGGTCGTGCTGCGGTCATGTCCTCAGGTCTTGTCCACTGAGAGTGATCTGCATAACCATCCCCGACCTGTGAAAGACGTCCGTGGTCAGATTTTTAATCCAGTTCTACATGGTTATAATAAGATTATTCACTTCAACATGAACTATGATTCGTATTTAACATAATGTTATATCTGGGATCCCACATTTGACAACTTGAATATATTCATAAAAGCGTCAAAGCCTTGTCAGTATTGATCGGAAATCTCTCGAAGGACAGAGGCAATTGTATTATTTCGTGAGTCTTTTGTTTATACATCATCTCAATTTAAATATTTAATATAAGCGATGGTGCCCTTCACAAACGCATGCAAAGGCAAGTCAATTTTCACCAGGACTTATGGCGCGATTGGACATTTTTGTCACCGATGTTAAAAATTTGGAAATGCCCCCCACATATCAAAATTTACTATAAAAACATTGTGGTCATGAACGAGGCTTTGCTTATTCAATTAGTTAGTGTATATCCTACTGATAATTAAAAAACATATTTCATTTCTTTTGAAATAACATAGAGCTGACCTGAGCCCAGTATTCGTTGTGGTCACTGTCCCAGCACTTGAGCAGATAGTCCAGTGGCCACCTCAGGGAGTCGTACACGTTGGTCAGCTCGCCAGCTGCCTGGTACCCTGCCCTGAACTGGATCAACCCCCAGGCCAAGGTCGTCGTAGACCACGCCATGGGGAAGTTGAACTTGACATTGTCGCCAGCTGAACAACACATGAGTGAGAGAGTGAGTGAGTGAGGGATTGAGCGAGTCTTAAGGACACTTTGAACACTATGTCAGTTAGAACACAGTGTGGCGGTTGTATGTGGAGGAACGCTACAAGTGACACGGTCTTGGGCTTTTGTGAAAGCCAAGAGTCCGGGTGTGGTGCTAGCAAGGGATTCGAACTCAAACCCACACGAATTGGGCAACTAAAACAGTTGATATGTGGGATGTCTAAACGATTTCTGAAGAAATAGTCGAAATCATAAATTAAAAAATAATAAAATGACCATTAGAATGTGCATCATGTAGCAAGCGTCTACTGAGTATGGCCATGTCATATACGTGTACTGACCATCATACCAGCCTCCGGTGAGGTCTCTGTTGTTGTCGCTGCCGTCATTGAGGGCGGAGTCAGCTCTCCACGGTATTCTGTTGGTTGAAGGAAGGGGTCCCGATCTCTGGGCCTCATAGAACAGGATGGATTTGCCAAGGACGTCAGCGTAGGCGCCTGATACGGTTGCTGGAATGAGAGAACGAGTCATTCAATGAACACAGCTGTGAACAGTGTTATGTTAAAGGCACACTATCACGCCACATTTCTTTAAAATCAATATTGCATCCCTCTCATTAATACTATCAGCCCCCAGCGAACCTACCATATAATTGATTCCGAAAAAGATTACGTATTAACGTAATATGAAATTACAGTATGAATTAATGCAACGTTGCATTAAATCGACTCTCGCACTCTCTACCGACCGAAATTTATTTCAACCGAACTCCATAGAGTTATGTCCCTTGAAACGCTCTTTACGAATATCCTATAACGCAACTTGTGATTGAGGTCAGTTCAACAAACATATGCTTTAAGTGAGTCTAAACTTTTGATGAATAGTATGTTTTCAAGTCTATATTGTATTTTGCCCTGCAGCTTGTCCAATCTACATTGTGGGAATACATTTATGTTTAATAACAGCCTCCGCAATGTGACGCTGGTTATAAACGAAGCTCTGTAAATATTCGAGTCTGGACCAGACAATCCAGTGATCAACAGCATGATAATCGATCTGAACAATTGGGAACCGATGAAATGTGTCAACCAAGTCAGCGAGCCTGACCACCCGATCCCGTTAGTCGCCTCTTACGACAAGCATGGGTTACTGAAGGTTCATTCTAACCCGGATTTTCAAGGGTCACAAACATGTACGTGACACCACTGCATCTTAATCTTGTATTACCTGGGCAAGGTTGTCCATCAGAAGATGTCTTCGTGAAGACTAGTCTTGATATTACAACAGGAGACGTCCCAGAGACATCAGCGTTAAAGCCGATACACAACTCCTGTCCGGCCGATCTGTCACCGTTAGACGACTGGTTCTTGATGTAGTATACACGACTGTTCGACTGTGCGTTTGTCAGTAGGAAGTCATGAGGCTGTTGAGACATAGAGAATCTCACCCAAGTGTCTACTGATATCAATTATATCAACACGAGTTGATAAAGTTACAAATATCCGAGGTTTGCCGAGGATATTTTTATCTTTATCAACGAGTATTGATATAATTGATATCAGTAGACACGAGGGTGAGATTCTATTTATCATCAAAAATCATTCGTTGTGTAGTTTCCAATGAAAAATGCACATCTCTCCACATTGTACTTCCATTCGACTTGCAGTTCAGCGACGTCATAGCATTGTGACATCACCAAGTTCATGACGTCATAGCATTGTCTGGGCATTGTACAAAATCTACTGTCAAATGATATCTCCTAGGAGATATCATATGATCTCAAACAAGCGATATCTCCTGTGGAACACAGTTTGGGATGATAAAGACATATATGCAATGAAACCGGTGATGGGTAACGGAGCCGGGGTTTTTGGTTCTTTTGGTTGTAGTTAATTTAATGCTCCTCTTTCTGATCATTTGTCTTTGTTTAGTCTTGCATTGGTCTTTGCTTTGCTATTTTCGTATTCGTGTTTTTTGGTGTGTGTTTAATAGCAGTGAGTGAATGAGTGAGGATGGTTTAAGATGTAACGTCAATCTTCAGACAGATTCCATTTGACGTAAAGGGCAAAAGAACAGTTAAAGTTACAGACAGGAACTTAAATAAGGTAGTGACCAGATGTCCGCGAAATATGTGAGCATATCTTGCCATTTTTAGCAATATTCCAGCAGTATAAGGAGGCTGAACAGCAGATGGATCTCATATTATGTACCTATGCTGGATAGGACCAGGGAGTTCGAAAAGACGAGAGAACACTTTAACTAACTAACTAACTAAGCGCCTGTAAGCGCCAGCAAGGGTTAATAAAACTGGTTTGAGTCCCCATATTGTTTTTCCCCCGCCGTGATGTTGCTGAAATATTGCTACGTGAATTTCAGTTCACAAACTCACTTTATGCATCGTCATAATCTATAACACAAATTCTAGGAACGTAAAACATGAGCAGAGAAACATATGCTGTTGACTTTGTAAAAAAAATTATTTCAAGAAACAAAATCCCTGAGTAAATGCTTGGTCCCTAAATTCCAACGAGGTCAATATCAGAGAACCGCCAATCTCTAATATCTACAGAAAAGGATTACATAAATGAGTTGTGAGAATTCTTTGAATGGGTCCCTGAAAATCAGTGATGACACCAGGTGTTTGCGAAAAAGGCAAACATGCCCTACTCTTCCGGAAGCACCAGTGAGCAGGGAAGTCATATGTCATAGTATGGGATAGCAAGGGTTAACGTCATATTAACAAGCGATGTTTTATATCCAGTACATCTCCCTGTCTGTCATAAAATCTTGGGAAGGCTAAAAGGGGTCTTTAAAACCCCGATTCAAAGACTTAGTTTCATTGAAAACGTGTCGTAACGGTGTACTCACGGCGATGCTCTGTACATTGACGGAGAAGACCAACTTCATCTCCCAGCCACACAGTTTCACGTCCGGGGTGGTGCATATATTGGTGGAGACACCTCCGTTCCATCGGTCGGGAATAGTGTAGGGAAAGTTGGTGGCAGCAGCCACGGGAAGCAGGAATACTGCAAATATAACACTGAAACAAAAATACAGCGACATCAGTTACATTATAACACAAGTAGCATCATTATTTGCTGGCGATTAGGTGGCTGACTCTATAAGTGTGGGTTCGAATCCCGGATGTGACTCAAACCGAAAAGAGTACTAAAATCTGCACCTTACTGAGAAAATGTAATCCTAAATGTAACACATGTTTCCCGGGTCTGTGTAATTATAATGTAAGTGTGAGGTGGCTGAGTGGGTTAGATGGCTGACTTCGTGAGCTGGCGATTAGGTGCCTGACTCTGAGAGCGTGGGTTCGAATTCTGGACCCAACCTAACAACAGTACAACCAGTCTCGATTACCCACACTACAGATTCCATTGAGTGTAAAAAGCAAAACTGTGATAAAAAAGCAAAGCACCGGGTGTTCCCCCAAAAGGGTAGGAATACCTACCTATAGCGCCACATTATGTTCCGACATGACTTTGAACATAAAGTCTATTTATTTCATGTTTAAAAAACAAATATTTAATAAACTCTGTCAAAAAAGAAACGCAACCCCTGTCCTCAGATATGAAAAATTCGTTTGAATGAAGTTATTGCTTCCAAACTAAATTTTATTCGAATGTATTGAAATGATACACGTAATTAATGAAGATTACCATCCAAACAACTGCATTTGTACGCATAAGTGTATTTTATTGCTTATTCCGTCACAACGCATGAAATGACCCTCATGGTGACTTCGCACAAAAAAAACACATGCAAATCATGAAAATGGCAGTTAATGTAGTGTGTATAAAGCCCATGTGCTTCCGTATTATATTCATTCATTTGTCGCCGAAAAGCTGTGTTAAAATGCCACGATTGAGTGCTGCCGACCGAAATATCGCCATTGGTCGTGTTCAAGCCGGAGAAAGTTTTGGAACTGTTGCACGGCACCTAAATGTTCACAAAACAACGATACCCCGACTTTGGAGCCGCTACAACAACTTCAATTTGACCAACGATCGCCCGAGAAGTGGAAGGCCAAGAATCACGACCCCCCTTCAAGATCGGTACATCCGGGTCCATCACCTGCGTAATCGGCATGCCCTACCAACCGTGACTGCCACACAAATACCAGGTTTGAGGAGAGTGTCAGCTCAAACGATTAGGAACCGTCTGAAAGAAGCGGGTTTACGTGCCTGTAGACCAGTTGTTGGACCTGTACTACGCCCCTACATCGACGCCGACGACTCAGGTGGTGCAACAACGTAAGGATATGGACTTTACAAAACTGGAGGCGAATCTGGTTTGCTGATGAATCACGTTTTCTTTTGCAACGTCACGACGGAAGACAGCGTCTGTATAGGAGACGTCATAAACGTTTTGCGCCCATCTGCGTCCGACAGGTGGACAGATTTGGCGGAGAAAGCGTCATGGTTTGGGGAACCATCTCATACAACCAGAAATCAGACTTGGTGATCGTTCAGGGAACCTGACAGCCCAACGTTACATCAACCACGTGTTAGAGCTTCACCTTCTCCCGATTATTGACCAACAGACACAGATTTTTCAACGGGACAACGCCCGGCCTCATACTGCACGTGCAACAATGAACTTTCCGCAGAATTCCAACGTCAATGTCTTGCCATGACCCTCTAAATCACCAGACCTCAACCCTATTGAACACCTGTGGGATACTCTGGATCGACGCGTACGTCAACGTCAGCCGCCGCCACAGACGCTGCAACAGCTCGCCGTTGCACTGCAGGAGGAGTGGAGAGCCATTCCCCAGGAAAGAATCCGGCGTCTTATCCGTTCTTGTCCAAGGGGATGCCGTGCAGTGATTGCAGCGCGTGGTGCTCATACGAGATACTGAGAAAGACGCCCCCCTGGTGACAAACTGGTGTCTGTGAGATGACTTTTGAAATGACAATTTTAAACATGCCCATCTGGGTTATTATTCTGCCAAATTTCAGACTTCTGTCTTAAATAATAAAAATGCCGTGTCGTCCTCAAACTTCAGATCAAAATATCTAAAATACAGGGGTTGCGTTTCTTTTTTGACAGAGTTTATAAAGGAAACATTATCTCCTTAACAACTGAAACATACACCAACCATACCTCATCGTGAAGTCTGCAAATCTGATAAATTGACGCTCACTACACCTGCATTGTAATGATTGCTTATGTAAATTTTGTTACATACATACGTACATATCTGTCCCCAAGCCCATTTGTTCTCCACGTGTAACACATTTTTTTGTCACGTGACACAGTTTAACCCTCTGATTGGTCAAGAACAGATCTCGTAGTCAACGCTCGACGCGCATTATGTAAACCAAGTAAAAACTTTTTGTAAATAGAAATATCAAAAAGTGTCCTTGCTGACATAATCAAGTGGGAATGCATAATGCCTTCATGCGATATACGTTGCAAGTATTCAGGCAAAATATCATATTATACAACTGATCTCATTACCAAAAGGGGCGGTGGGATAGCCTAGGGATTAAAGCGTTCCCTCGTCACGCCGAAGACCTGGGTTCGATTCCCCACATGGGTACAAAGTGTGAAGCCTATTTCTGGTGTCCCCCGCCATGATTATTGCAGGAATATTGCTAAAAGCGGCGTAAAACCCAACTCACGCACTCACTCCTTACCAAAAGGACATGGTTAATTTAATAAGAAGAACCCTCTACAGATGTGATCATATTTTTATGCGAAAGGTTTCTCACTGCGGGATGTGCTAAATGGTATTAACTCAGTATCAGACGAATATTGATATTGTACAGTCAGTCCACCAATTCATTATTACATGTTCTTATTTTCACGGCTTGTTATATTTACTACGTACAACATCATGTATATATGTAAACCTACACATGTATTATGGAGCGGCATTAATATAAGCCATTTAGGCTAGTTTGCCAATCCTTTTCTGAATAAAATATACACAAATAACTTAATTAAGCACCTCCGGTATTTTTGCAATGATAGGTTTTCAACAAGTACATAAAACTTCTCGTGGTGACCGCAATGGAGAAACAGTTTTTTTCTGACCCGTATGAAGGCCAAACTATTTGGAATCCATGTTGATTGTATAATGATAATTGGTCATTTAAAAAAACAACACTGATTTTCATACAAAACCATGTCTGTACAAGTATGGCACTGAAATGTTTAATGTTGAATTTATTAGTGAATGTGAACCTCAAAATGTCATTTTTGCGTGACTTACACGATTCAAAGTCAATACCGAGTGTAACCTCCATGTGACTGTATGACAGCCAGCACTCTCCTCCTCATACCCCCTGTCAGCCTCCTGGTCTCCTGAAGGGTCAGTCTACGCCATTCCTCGTGTAAAGCAGCTTCCAACTGGGCCAGGTTCTGTACAGGAAGATCCCTTTGTTGCACACGTCGACCAATCATGGCTCGGATATGCTCCAAAGGGTTAAGGCTCGGGGCTTATTCAATCGTGAGATGTATCAGGTGGTGCTTAACTAAGTTCTTTGTGTATGTTTAAACCAGATGTGACCAGCATGCCATGTGGTCCAGTACTGCGTCATATTCCTTCAGCACAGACGGCTGAAACAGGTTCATCAAATATACACCGACGAGACAATTGTTTGTGACGTAAATACACCTCGTGAGGCATATCAATACGCCAGCAGATGGTTCACTCGTATGTTACATTGGGTTGGAGGTTTATCAGAGCATAGCTTCATGGCGTGGAACTACAAGACACAGAATCCTTTCCAGAACAGACCACATTTACATGTGTTACGTGCATGCTAGCCTTGAGATCTGTATGACAGGCCTTACTTTGATAATTCTGTGTTTATAGCGGAATCACGTTAGATATTGTGGTGGCGTGGTGCCAGGCTACAGACGGCCACTACACACAACACAGTGTTGAGATATTAAAACCTCAGGGAAGAGGTTACACACCACGTACATTCACGAAACATCCATGGTTTATACACGAATAAACGCGACATGACAGCGGAATTCAAACAACGCTTAGTTTTCGTATATTGTCGGAAAGTTTGAGAACACGTTGAAAATGGGGCGTGTTTATTTTCTTCTTGATTTTATCAAATTGAACATCTTTTCACAAAAAAGATAACGTGTACAGAATGTCGTCATTGTATAAAATAATGTGTGGAGGTGTACGATTGGCGAATGTTTAATGAAGTGAAAACTTAGATCATTCTTTCTTTTGGTAATACATGCAGCCTGTGTGCGAAATATTTTCCAAATTTTGCTAGTCAGTCAGGCAAGCTATGCCTGAAAGTTACTAGCCCACAAAATAATTCACTACCGCGAAATTTGAATGTAGAAAGTAAGCAAAATGATTACGAATAGGTAAAATACCATAAAAACCAAATGACCCCATGAAAATTCACTAGCCAGTCGGGCCAGTGCCTGTGAAGATTTACTGGCCCGACAGGATTTTTACTAGCCACGGTCTAGCGGACCAGTGGCTATTCGCACACTGCATGCAGATGTATATTTTCGGACACACTTGACTATTCTGGAAAAATGTACCATTTCAAGAATTGACACAAGCGGGAATAAATCTCACCTCATTTTGACAGGGGTCGGACTCCAAACATGTTTCAGTCAGCTACAACATCGACAACAACTCCCTGAGTTGTCTTACGTGCGTCATCGTCATATGTAGATACGGATGTGCGTTAACTTTATATGTAGATATGTTGTGTTTCATCACTGTATACGGGGACATCCGTGTCACTTTGCGCTGGAGTAAGTGTTCCGTGTCGGATAAAGCCGTCATACCTTGACTAGTGTGACACTGACATAAGGGCCATCCCATTGCATCCGGGCACTGCGTTAGGCCCGTGCCTGCCACGTGATGACTGAAATGGCAATATCATTCAGGTCCGGTTTTGTTGATGACTGTTAATGGTTTTGTTTGTGTTATTATGACGAAGTATTAAGGCATGCATCACTGATCCTCTTTCTCCTCCTCCATTGATGTCATTGTCTCCTGTTATCATGATGATCGTTCGTCATATGAGCGAAATATTCTCAAGCACGACGTTAAACCCGATTTCACCTCACCTCATGATGATCGTATAATGTTGACAACTGACAAAGTGAGTTGGTTTCACTCCGGATTTCACAGTTTTGCAGTGGCACTACTACTACTTCTTCTACTACTACTACTTCTACTACTACTACTACTACTACTACTACTACCACCACTACTACCACCACTACTACTACTACTACTACTACTACTACCTACTACTACCACTACCACTACTACTACTACTACCACTACTACTACTACCACTACCACTACTACTACTACTACTACTACTACTACTACTACTACTACTACCACTACTACTACTACTACTACTACTACTACTACCACTACTACTACTACTACTACCACTACCACTACTACTACCACTACTACTACTGCCACTACCACTACTGCTACTGCTTCTGCTACTGCTACCACTACCACTACTACTACTACCACTACTACTACAACTACAACTACTCATATTACAACTACTACCACTTACCCGTGGAAGTTCGGGTTATACTATTGGTCTTCTGTAACCCATGCTTGTCGCAAGAGGCGACTAATGGGATCGGGTGGTGAGGCTCGCTGACTTGGTTGACACATGTCATCGGTTCCCAATTGCGCAGATCGATGCTCATGCTGTTGATCACTGGATTGTCTGGTCCAGACTCGATTATTTACAGACCGCCGCCATATAGCTGGAATATTGCTGAGTGTGGCATAAAACTAAACTCACTCACTCACTCACTACTACTACTACTACCACTACCACCACCACCACCACTACTAATACTGCTGTTACTACTAATTCTACTCCTACTCTTGCTACTACTACTACTACCACCACCACATCTACCACCACTACTACTTTCACTACTACTACTACTACTACTACCACCACCACTACTACTACCACCACCTCTACCGTTACTACTACTACCACCGCCACCACTACTACAAGTACTACTACTACTACAGCCACTACTACTACTACTACCATTATTATTACTAAAACATTTTTCGCGTCGTATCCACCACTAAGCAGTGTTCATGACGCTACATTAATCCAACATGTTATGGCCAAATTCATTCTCAGATTCAAGGGACGAATATATGGAGTAAATGTGTCTGTTTACATTGTGTTAGTGAGTGAGTTTGGTTTTACGCACATGGTAGTAATTCTCCAGCACTGCCATGGCGGGAACACCTGAAGTGGGCTCACATATTACCCCCAACTTTCGATTCGAACAGAGGTAAATAGGGCTGCGCAATATAACCGGTTTACCGGTATTTACCGGTTCAAACATGAAAACAATACGTATTGCGATAAGCTGGTCAAAAACCGGTATTTTGACTTGCATTCGGAAAACTTCGTAACACTCGGAAATCTTCGGATATTTCCGTGTTTCATTTGTGCCAAATATTATTTACATTCTATTTTGTCATGATTAAAGGTTGTTGTTAAAGCTTAATCAAGCATTGTTATTTTGTTATGTTTTTGCTTTATAAATCAAGCATTAACTCGATTGTAAGTAGTTTTATGTTTAAAAATACTTCTTGCAATATATTGCAATACATATCGCAATATATGCTTTCGTACGAAAACGAAGTAGGGCCACGGTGAAAATTGTTTTTGGTCTTACTATCTCCTACTTAGTACTTAATATCTCCTACGTAGGACTTAGTATCTCCTACGTAGGACTTAGTATCTTAGAGTCATGTGTTCAACTAATTGTTGCACATTACTGTGTTGGACCGACTGTTATACTTTACCGCCTTGCGTTCAGTTTACTATTACGCGTTGCAGTTAGTTCACTGTTATGTGTTGCACTTTGTTACACTTTACTATTATGCGTTGGATATTTCAGAGGTCGGTGCACATGAATCATAATCTGCGTGTACATACGTGTCTTAGACTATCGGTGGAAATATGTGTACGTATAAATATAATGACAATTCTTTGCCTTTTTGAATTTCGTATTGTTTTACGCCGCACTCAACACTTGTCCACCCCAGTCAAGTCAACCTGTAAACAATTACGAAAAAAGCCGCAAACGAGCGTTGCATCCGATCCAACTTAACCCCATCAAGACAAACAACTTGCGGAGGTCGTGTTATAACCCGAGTTTCATATCACAACCTCACCCCAACCATCCGACCCACCTGTGTGTGTGTGTGCGTGCGTGCGTGTGTGTGTGTGTGAATAGATCTATGTATGATAGATTAAACTACTGACTGACTGACTGAGTTTGGTTTTACGCCATTTTAGCACTATTCCAGCAACATCACGGCGGGGGACACCAGAAATGGGCTTCACACATTGTGCCCATGTGGGGATTCGAACCCGACGCTTTAACCATTAGACTACCCCACCGCCCCGATTAAACTAAGTCCTACGTAGGAGATATTAAGTACTACGTAGGAGATACTAAGTCCTGCGTAGAAGATACTAAGTCCTACGTAGGAGATAATAAGTCCTACGTAGGAGATACTAAGTTCTACGTAAGAGATATTAAAGGTCACATAAACCCTAGGGGGTAAAAATACATAAATCAGTAACTGGCATCGTTGTAAATGAAACCCCGTCATTAAAACTACTCATTTCGACCTTTAATTGACTTAAATCGACCTTTTTGACAACAGTGCACAATTCTCACCCGCGAACGAAATTTCAACCAATCAGAGCGGCGCGACTCTGTGACGTCATATGAGGAATAGCTTTGAGGGCCGATGCAGAATTCATCTACATTTTAGGGGTAAATTATCTTGTTTACAGGCTTGTATAAACCTGAAATCGTGACAATTGTTGTGGAAAATGAAAGCTATATGTTCTCACAATCTACTGGCATTTAATTTTGTCTCCTGCTTTGCCTAGTTTCCGAGTTTCAACTTGTTTTCATAGACGCTTCTGTCACAATTGATTGGTGTCGTTAGGCCCTATTTGTATAATGACTGATCCAAATTGATCCCATTTCTGTGTTTTTTTACCTCGATATTTAATCATGTCATGTAAAAATCTGTTTGTATTCTCAAAACAGTGTCGGCCCATACGTTTTCACATGCAATACAGCAATTAATACTCCCTTGTTGTAACCCGTGTTAGGTGGTATAAACCTGCACGTTATTTGTCATCATTTTCACTTGATGGTCAGTTAATGAATTTATAACAGGTATAATTAGTGGTAATACACTTAGATTACCCGACAAAGGTTCCCATTTGGCATTTCTTGTGTCTGGAGGAAATATTCAACATTATGAACATCGATCAAAGGATTAACCGATAACACGCTGATTGATTAATTACTTTTATCTTACACAGCGGAATTGTCAAAAGGTAGTGTTTATGTATGTAGATTTACTAATCTATACTGAATACACTCTGCCGTGTCGGTGTCTGCGTAAAAACAACGTCCTTCTTTCAAAGGATTAACCGGCAATACATTGATTGATTGCCCATTATTGGCTAACTAAATTACTGTTTTTAATGAAAGGCGGACATTATGCAATTAGTTGCCAGGTGTGCTATTTTGGGTGACCAATGAGACTATATACATTTGGAACAGTTTTGTGGATATTGATGGATACATTCCTCAAACAAGGTAATGGCCTGATATTGTTCCTATAACTTTAATCTGTTTTAATTTACATATTTGCATTTTGTTTTTTAATCATTTGTCGTAGCATTCAACAGAATCATTGTTTTCGCCGTGAAGTGTAATGAGACAGACAACATACACTAGGGTGTGTGTGCGAATTATGATTCACATTGGCAAACTATAAAATGTCTAGATATTACAGTTCTGTTATAAATTCACTATAAGTATCAGCAGATCGTCTGCTTTTTATTTAGTTTCAAAATGCATACAAGTATGATAATAAACTAATTAGGATTATAAGACCAAATATAAAGACGCACATTGACTAGTATCTACATACTGGTGAGTGGACATTAACCATGTGAATGTAGCAAGAAATTTATCGCACAGTATTGTGACTTCGACCCCCACCTCGCTTCCGTGGAAGAAATCGTTATGTTATAAGTTGTGTCATGCAAAACCCTTTTGGTTATGATTCCAATACATATTTAACTACGAGTAGAAAGTAGTTTTGATTTTCTCATTAATTCTAACAGACTTTACGATTTTCAAAAATGGCGGCGCCCTGTCGGGAACATCCGCCAGTCTGTGGATAAATGCTATTTAGGTTTGTTTTCACCGAGTTACAAAATCAAAACTACTTTCTACTGGTAGTAAAATATTTATTTTATTGATGGCCAATAGGATTTTGCATGACATAGCGTATAACATAACAATTTCTCTCCTGGCAGCGAGGTGGGTGTCAATATAATACTACTTACAATATTATTGTTACTTCGACCACAACCTCACTTCCGAGGAAGAAATCGTTATGTTACAAGTTGTGTTATGGAAAATCTTTATGGTCATCAATCATATACATATTTTACTATAACTAGTAAGTAGTTTTGATTCTCTAACTTCCGTGAAGCGATCTGAACACAAGTAAGATATCGTTTCAGGCTTCCACAACGCTCGCTTCGCACTCACAAACATAACCCATTTAGCACGAAC